AGAACAGGGTATAACTTAGTCATGCATTCGAGTTGTGTTATTAATTTTTACTTAAGAATTCTTTTTGCAACAAGTTATAAGCTCTTACGCTCCACTTGAGCAGCAACATGGGCGTGGTAGAAAAGGGTTGCCCAAAGCATGAAGAGGAAAAACAATCTGACGTAGATTATCTCATTGGGTTCGGCCTTAAATCTATTTGGACAACTGCAAGAACTTTGCCAACATAAAATTTTAGCATATGCAAAACTTGGCCCAAAGGCTGAAGGTCAGAAAGCAATATGATATATGGTTAGCTGACTGAGCAGATGTTTGTATAATTTAATCAAGCACAGCAAAGCGTATCGGATATCAAGGTAGATAATATGTGACATATGGCAAATGCATGATAAAACCAGTCCAAAAGTCCATGCAAGCATAAACTGTGCTTAAAGAGAGGCAGAGAGTAAGAGAGAGAGAGAGAGAGAGAGAGAGAGGGAGGGAGAGAAAACTGACTGCGTATATATATTTAGATACACATGTATTTTTGTATCTGTAAAATCTGTGTATCTGTTGGCTTGTTTCATTCGTGAACATGCGCTTGTATCTGAAGGATCACGCCTGTCGTTGCCACAACAACTATTATCAACATCGCATTTGTATTGTCAAATTAATATTATTTTCATTCAAATACTAATCTATTTATTATGGTTTAATTACAGTATGAAATTGTGGCCAAATTCGCCGGTGCATATACCAAAATATGATGGAATGCTGCCATTCGCCAGCAGCGCATCACCGGCGGCCAGCAGCAGCCCCATTGCGATCAATTCAGTGACATCGACCAATTCGCCAACATTGAAACTAATGGACGCCACAAATATGGTATCGCCGCAGCATGTGCCAGCCGATATTGACGATTATGTATGCCATATACACCCACATTATTCCGCAACTAGTGTAATCTAATTTTACTTTTTTTTATTGCATTTTACTTGCATAGAATCAGAACATAATGCCAGAATCAACGCCCGCACAAGTGACACAGTGGCTGACAAATCATCGTCTGACAGCCTACCTCACCACATTTGCCCATTTCTCGGGCGCGGATATTATGCGGTGAGCGTAGCGCTCACATTAGAGAGCTTCTTTTTTCTATATCCATATAATTTTGTGGATGTCAGCTTATTCCCTCACTCTTCAACGATTTCTCTTTCTATATTTAGCATGTCCAAGGAAGATCTAATACAAATCTGTGGACTTGCCGATGGCATACGCATGTTCAATATATTGCGCGCCAAGTAAGTTTGATTTTTAAATTTTAAAAATACATATGATATTAGCTGTAAACATTTTGCAACATTGGATTAATCTTGTGAGTGTGTTGTGTAGTGTTCTATAAAGAGCTTTTCTGGCAAAGCTTTAATTCTTCGCAAAGTAATTCAATTTAATTTAATTTATAATTTTCTAGAACTTATGGCTTGTTTAAACTAAGATCTTACAAAAACTACTTATAGAATGAGATTAAAATTAAATCTCATTAAAACTTTAAAGTGAATATTTAAAATACAGAATTGCTTAAAGCTGGAAGCTCGACCCGCTTCTAAGAGTAGTATAATAATTTAAATATAAAGTGCTTCTAGCGTATGTAAAGCTCATTAATATTAACCGCACATCGTAGTTTGACAGCTTCATAGTTCTATAGTAAATTCAAATGAGTTCAAAGCTTTCTTAAACCCCTTCCCCTGGCTCCAATCTACTTTCAAGATTAATCCAACGTACAAATCAAACTTTCAGCTCTTGTCATTTTGATTTAAATAATAAAAACATTTGCTAATTTTTCCAATATCTCTTACAGGACCATTGCGCCACGTCTGACGCTCTATGCCAGCATGGATGGCTGCAGCTACAACGCCATCTACTTACTGTGCAACACGGCCAAGGAGCTGCAGCAGAAGATCTACAAGCTGCCCGGTTTCTATGAGTTCATGGCCAAGGGCGGCCAAGCTGGCGCCTTGGAGAATGGCAGCGGTGTGGCAGCCGCAGCGGCTGCTGCAGCAGCGCTCTACAACAATTGGGGCATGCACTCAAAATACTCGGGCAGTGGCTCCAATATATTCAACGAGGCGAACAAGAGTTGCGTATATATATCGGGTCCATCCGGCATACATGTCAGCGTCAGCGATGAGGTGCTCAACAATGAGGTCAAGGACGGCAGTCTCTATGCCCTGGACGTGCAGGGCGGCAAAGTTATAATGAAATTGATCAATAAGCAGGATAATAATTGAATAATTGTCAATCCAAACTTGTTAATTATAGAAATGCGAATGTTTATTGCCTGCACCAAGCTAAACCATGAAAGAAAAGTATAGTTATTAGCATTTATAACGAGCTATATCAAATGGAACACATGCGTATTAGAGTTATATAACACAAACACACACATATGCCTATATATATTTCTATTTCTATATAAGTTTCAATTTGTATGAGATTTCGCGCAGCAATTTTGAACAAGTAACCACATTCACCTACCAACATTATGTCCCATGCTTAAAGTTCTGCAGATATTCGAATTTCTGTGAGTTCCATTTCCATTCAATTATGTTTTGTCTTGAGTTTTAATTGTTTTTTGTTTAATTTTTTACTTGATCCGAAACATTTCTATATTTGCAAAGCATTTTGTATTTGATTTTGTTATTTTTTAATTTTTTATTTTCTTATGCTGCATGTTTTATGTTGTAAGCTTTATTATTTTACCCCTACGTATGTAACAATTTTATATATATACAAACTATATACCACATAAATATAGCAAAGATATATATGAAGCAGTTGCCAGCAAATGAAGTAGAAGAAAAAACACAAAAATCACAACAAAAAAACTTATTATTTAGCAGCACACACATACATATTACAACACGATAATTACAACAAAGTACAGTACCACAAGATCGAACATTGAACAACAAATGTCGGATGAAAGAGTTCAGCTAACAACCAAACAACATCTATTGTTTTAACAAAGCTTATCCAATTGTATGTGATAAAAGCAATAAAGTGTTATCCAAGAGTGGACTGTCAAAAAAATGAGATTTAGAACTTAATAATTTATCGGGGTGTATTCAATTGGTCTAATGTAATCTTAAGTTTAGTTTTGAAATTAAGAATATTAAGTGAAAACTTTCAGAATGATGTATTTAAAAGCCTGCTAAAGCCGACAGTGTAAGAGAGGTTTACACAGGTCGTAAAGTGTCTTTGGCATCTAAATCTGGCAATTTTATTCTGGGTCATGTGAAAATGGCTCCCTTAACTATCCTATATACACAGGTCAAAATTTCCCAACCCATAACTCGGCCAAAACTCATCCGATTTTCACGAGGTTTGGCCGTTTGCTCATGGTTTGGCCTCTAGATTAATCCGGCATTCAAATCTGAAAATATATTTTTTAGTCGAAATTCAAGTCAAAATCTTGCCCCAAGATTCGTATATAGACAATTTCCCATTCCCATAACTCGGTCAAATTTCATCAGATTTTCACGAGGTTTGGCTTTTTGTTCATGGTTTGGCCTCTAAATTAATCTGGCATTTAAATCTGAATATATATATTTTAGTCGAAATTCAAGTCAAAATCTTGCCCCAAGATTCGTATATAGACAATTTCCCATTCCCATAACTCTTTCAAATGTCCATAAGATTTTCACGAGGTTTGGCCGTTTGCTCATGGTTTGGCCTCTAGATTAATCCGGCATTCAAACCTGAAAATATATTTTTTAGTCGATATTCAAGTCAAAATCTTGCCCCAAGATTCGTATGTATATAGACACATAGACAATTTCCCATTCCCATAACTCGGTCAAATCTCATCAGATTTTCACGAGGTTTGGCTTTTTGTTCGTGGTTTGGCCTCTAGATTAATCTGGCATTCAAATCTGAATATATATTTTTTAGCCGAAATTCAAGTCAAAATCTTACCCCAAGATTCGTATATAGACATGGCTCAAAATTTCCTATTCCCATAACTCGGTCAAATCTCATCAGATTTTCACGAGGTTTGGCTTTTTGTTCATGGTTTGGCCTCTAAATTAATCTGGCATTCAAATCTGAATATATATTTTTTAGTCGAAATTCAAGCCAAAATCTTGTCCCAAGATTCGTATATAGACATATAGACAATTTCCCATTCCCATAACTCTTTCAAATTTCATAAGATTTTCAAGAGATTTGGCTTTTTGTTCATGGTTTGGCCTCTGGATTAATCCGGCATTCAAATCTGAATATATATTTTTTATTCGAAATTCAGGCCAAAATCTTGCCCCAAGATTCGTATATAGATATATAGACAATTTCCCATTCCCATAACTCGGTCAAATTTCATCAGATTTTCACGAGATTTGGCTTTTTGTTCATGGCTTGGCCTCTTAATTAATCTGGCATTCAAATCTGAATATACATTTTTAAGTCGAAATTCAAGTCAAAATCTTGCCCCAAGATTCGTATAAAGACATACTAGCGGGTATAACCCGGCCTTGCCCGTGGATCGTATGTTAAAAATCAACGTTCTCAAAAAGTTTTGAAAATGATTTTGAAACTTATCGGACGGTAAACAAACAATTTTCATAGAAACGTTTTCCGCCAATTTACCAATGTTGCGAGTGGAATTTCCAAAATCGCTGAAACACGTATTCATTATATTCTTATGTAGAGCTTTGAAATTAAGTTTGAAGTAAATCGGACACAACTTAAAACTTCGCACAAAAAATCCTTGAGTCGCATTCCCCCCGAAGAAGTTTGAATTCTGCGAAAAGTGTGAAACACGTCTCAAATGATTTTTCTTATAGATCTTTGGAAACGAATTTGAACACAAAACGTCATCCACCAAATCTTTGACCTCCATTTCCACCAAGGAGGAATGGATTTTCCTAAAAGTGTGAAACACCCCTCAAATGAATTTGAACAAAGATCTAGATCAATTTGGTTTGAAAATGGTTCCCTTAACTATCCTATATAGACATGGGTTAAAAATTGCCGCCCCATATCTCGGTCAAATTTCATCAGATTTAATCAGTATGTTTAAAAAGTTTTCGATTAAATTAAGAAAAGGTGACCACATTTGAAACAGAGATGCCTTCGACTAGAGTTGAATTAAACTTCTGGCATTTGACAACACTTTCGGCACGGGGAAGTACCCCAAAGTGATTTGATTAGAGAAATTATTAAATTTGCTTGTTAAATTTATGGAAACTAGTTTAGTAATCAAAATTTCAATTAGGGTAACTCAGATATGAAATACTTGGCAGTAATATTAACATTGCTGCTGTGCGTGCTGGGTAATTAGAACATAAATATTTTATAATATATTTTACAAGATTGTAATGAATTATTATTGAGGCAGGCAGTCAGGGCGATTGCCAAATAGCCCGGCACATGGTGGAAAATACAAAGCGCATATTCACCTACCGGGATGCGAGTGGCGCCCTTCGGCTGTTGCGCACAGAGCGAGTGCCCAGCGGCATGCGGCTTTACATGTACTGCAGCGCTTCGGATGTGCTGGAGACACAGTGCCAGGATAACGGGCAGTTTACGTTGGCGCTGCCCATGAGCTGTGGCACGCCGATGCGGTCAACTGTCGTGAAAAGCCGCGACGCTGCATGCCCCCAGACGCTGTACATAGTGGGCTACTCGCTGGAGGGGAAACAGCTGGAGCTCTTTCGCTGCTGCCACGATGCCCAGGAGGGGCGGGTGCTGTACGCAGAGAGCGATGTCTACTACAAGAGCTTCTGTAAGACTTCTGCTTAAAGCAATTAGAATCTGCAGCCTAAGCCAAAGTCTTTTCACAGTCGCCAAGCGACCGTGGGTGGAATTCGAGACGGATCAGATAGTCACGCCTCAGGAGGCGGCTGCCTTTATGAAGCGTAATACCCATGATGCATTCAATTGTATTTTTGGCGACAATCAAAAATATTTGCCCAGTCCCAGCGATCTGGTCATCAATCGCGGCCATTTGGTGGCATCCGCCGATTTTCTGTTTTGCGATCAAATGGGCAGCACTTTTCGCTATCTGAACGTGGTGCCGCAATTCAAGAGCATCAACGACGGCAACTGGGAGAAAATAGAGCGCTGGCTGCGCAGCCAGGTGCCCGCCGCGACTCCGTTCCGCATCAGGACTGGTGGCATCGATGTGCTCACGCTCCAGGATCAGCATGGCGACGAGCGCAGCGCCTATCTGTCCGGCTCCAAGCTGCCGGTGCCCCTGTGGATCTATAAGACTGTGCGAGATATCGACGGCAACGGCATCTATGTGTTTCTCTCGTACAACAACATATTCGAACGGAACCGACCGGAAGTCCTGCACAATTGCCAGACTGTCGCGTGTCCTGTTAGTCTGCCGGACAATGCCAACGATGGTTTCATCTTTTGCTGTAATCCAAACAACTTTCCATACTAAGACGAATGCACAAATTGTTTGTGGTTCTTGCAGTCAATTGACCAACATATTCTGCCAAAGGTAAGTCGAACTATTTAAGGCCAATTTTCATATTTGTTTTATTAATTGATTTTCCATGTTTCACCTTCCCATTTCCACAACTGTGTTAAAACTTTTTTGGTTTATTTGTTAATAATTAATTTTAGAAATTTATTTTTTAACATTTTCCAGAAAATACGCCTCAATAATTTTGCAAATAAATAAATTTTGGATATTTTTATACAAAAATTATCATAATTTAATTATTCTATTTGTTCTTTTGATTATCTCGATAAGTATTTTTATTAATATTATTGTTATTATTATTATTATTATTACTATTATTATTATTAATATTATTATTATTATTATTATTATCAATATTATTATTATTATTGTTATAATTATTTGTAGTATTTTTTGTAAATATTTTGTATCACTATTATTATTATTAGTATTTTTTTTCTACATAATTTACTTATTTTCTTATATGTTATTATTTTTAAATTTCTGACTCATTGCAAATGTTTTATCTATTTCCTTTTGCCCAAAAGATTTTCTTATGTAACATCTTTTTATTTTCTTAATTTCTTCGGATTCTTTCTGCACTTTTCTTAAATACGAATGCAAAATGTAAATTTTTGCAATAAAATTGATAAATGAAAATCGTTTAAAGGAGGACTGTCCTTTTGCCCATTAAAAATGAGCTCTGAATAATTTAGTATATTTACTTAACGGTTCTCAGCTTATTAGACAACAGTCAGCGATTAGTGAAAGGCGCATGCACTGCTCAAAAAAGTAGACTACGTTGTCAATATATGTGTACTTTAATGTTCAAATTATAAGAAACACTTGTGGGAACTCTGTCGAACAAATGTAAATATCAATTAAATTGATAAACAAATTTATATTCGAAAATTTTTCTTTATTTGTATTTACTTTCAATATTTGATTAACTTTAAGAAAATAATAGTATATAGGTATTTTAATTTGCCACAACTTTCAATTTCTTATATGTATTTTATTTTTTTAAATTGTTTTAAGAATTTGTGTTTATTTTACTCCTCATATTCATAATTTTCCATTATTTGTTTACACTTTGATTCTTTTGGTGCCCAAAGCTGTGTTCAATGAATTCATTTAAATTTAATGCCAATTAATGTCGTTTAACGAGTTTTTAATTGTCTAGGCAATGCCTTTAAAAGGCCTAGTCCATCTCAAGACCCGCATTAGTTGGAGTCCAAGTGTTCTACGAAATGAATCTTACTTTTGATAGGTCTGTGGAGGTGTTTTACACGGGTCAGAGGCGTATTTTGGACTGGTATTCGCTCTGGCCGCAGCAGGTGCGCTGGAAACGCGTGCTGCACGGGATGAATTTCTGGCTTGTTTTTGGATTCTTTATGATGATCTTTAATCTCATATTAGCGCTGTATATTGGCATCAATATACGGCAGATGATCGAGGTAATGAAGGGCTTTTTTGTGCTGGCCACAAGCGTTGCCTACTCTATAAAGGTAAAATGTTTTAGATTTTTACAGCAACTGGCTTATACTCTGTATTATTTACAGCTGTTTTCCTTTAAGTCTAATAATGTAGCCCTACTCCAGTTCTTTGCCAATCTGCACGATGCACTATTCCGACCGGCGAGCCCGGAGGAGCAGCAAATCTTTGTAACCGCCAGGGAATTAAGTCGTACTATCCGCAATTCTTACGGAGCTGTTTCGTTCTGTACTCTAAGTATATTGCTCCTTACTCAATATGTCATCGATAATACCGAGCTGCCTCTGGCTACCTATGATCCTTTCAATGGAACTCCCGGCTCCTTTGGCTACTGCGTCATGTACATTTATCAATGTGTTGCCCTCTCGTTCGGCTGCTTTATGAATATATCCATCGATTCGCTGTGCTGTTCGACATTTATTTTTATTCGATGTCAATTAGATATTTTGGCATTGCGACTACAAAATATTGGAACCGATTGTGATCTGGAAGACAAGAAGAAAGGAGCCGCAGCCGAAGTGGAGCTGCAGCTGAGGAAGTGCATACAATACCATATGAAGATTGTTCAATTGGCAGCTGATATCGAGGCTTTGGTCTATAAACCCATATCGGCGCAAATTTTCTGCTCGGTGCTGGTCTTAACTGCCAACTTCTATGCCATGTCGCAGGTGAGTTAATAGAAAAAAAAGAAGATACAAATATTGAACACAGATGAAGGTAACCCTAAAAAAACAAATCACGTTTCCAAATAAAATAGTTATCCGATGAAAAGTTATTGTTCCTAAAGATGTTAATCTACCAAGTCTGTATGCTCCTGCAAATCTTTATATTATGCTACTTTGCGGGGTAAGTAAACCCCAATTATATATAAAAGCCGATATATACCGTATATAGTTTATCAGTGAGATAACACAGCGCAGTCTGGGTCTGCCCCACGATCTGTACAGATCCAATTGGGTGGGCTGGCAGAGGTCCAATCGCCGCCTGCTGCTGATGCTGATGCAACGTCTGGATATTCCCATACGGATAAGGACAATAAATGGCAGCCATGCCTTTGACCTGGAGCTGTTCGGTTCGGTGAGTTGGGGCTGTATTTTGCGCACTGTAAAATATTCCATAATGAGCGCGGCTCATTAGGGCTCATTATCCTGCGTGTCCTTGCGTAGGCTGGCCTATAAAAGGCCTGCTAAAATGTGCAGCTGGCCAAATAGTTATTGTTTGATATAGTCTCGACATGATGCGGCAAGCGGAACACCACAAAATGACGGCGGCTTTCTACAAGTATCAAGTCTGGTATTTCGATATGTTGGGGATGTGGCGTCTGCATTTGGCTGCCACCTGGCAGCAGAACGTGTGGCATCAGCTGCGCTGTTGCCTCATGCTGGGCATTGTGTCCGTTATGCTGCTCTTCTTTGCCATACGCGTCCTGGACAACATAGATCAGCTGAGTGTCATACTGCAGGTGTTCTTCATGTTTGCCACCGAGCTCTCCTGCATGACCAAGCTGCTCAGCATTAAGCTGCAAAATGAACAGCACGCCAGGCTCATCGACGAGATGCATTCCTCGTACTTTCGGCCCAGATCTGCCAAGCAGACGCTGATCTATAGACGCGGCGCTCAGCGTAGCGTCAAGTGGCGTAATCTGTACGCATGGAGTTCCGTGCTGGCCGCCAGCCTCATATTGGTCACCCAATGGTTTGTGGATAACAACGCGTTGCCGCTGTCCATGTATGAGCCGTGCAATTTGGCCCGGCCCAGCTGCTACTATGGACTGTATTTGTATCAGGTGATGTCGCTGATGCCCACCTGCTGGATAAATATTGCTTTTGATTCCATATCCGGCTCGTTCTTATTCTTTCTGGAGACACAGCTGGCTATGCTGGCAGCTCGATTGGAGAGCTTGGGCGCGGTTCTAACCCCGCTGGATGATCAGCGCATTGCGCTGGAATTGCGTGATTGTTGCATCCATTATGCACGTATTGTGCAGCTTAAGGACCTGGTGGATGGTTTTATAAAGGTGCCCGGTTCGGTGCAGATGCTCTGCTCGGTACTGGTGCTTGTTTCCAATTTCTATGCCATTTCCATACGCACTAAAGAAACGGCTTTTATGATCATGATGGTCTCATATCAGTTGGTGATGCTCTTGCAAATCTTCATCATATGCTATGGAGCCGAGGAAATGAGCCATCAGAGTACATTACTTGCCCATGCACTGTACAGCTCCGATTGGACCAGTTGGAGCAGGAGTAATCGCAAAATGGGCCTGTTAATGATGCTGCGCTTTAATGCGCCGCTGCAGATGCACACCCTAAATCACTCACAGAGTTTTAATTCCACAACTTTTGCATCTGTATAACTAGTGTGCTTATTAATTGGTAATATTATTAATAATTATTTTTATTTTACAGATTGTGAACTGCTCCTACAGCTACTTTGCTCTGCTCAAGCGAGTCAACAGTTAAATTTTGCGCCCAAACATTTGCGTTACTGCACACTACGCACGCGTTGCCATCAACAGTTGTCGATGAACGATTAACCTACCCCACGTTCGACGCTCAGCACTGCATTAGTTTTCCGGCATTTTTAGGTCGTTTTTATAGATATGCAATAAATGCACTAGAAAAAATGTATTTTTACTCAATTTGGTAACGATAGTATCGAAAGCGGTTGCTTGCGCTTTACAGCACTAAGCATGTCATATCGTTCAGCTGATGCTCGTTCTTTAGTTTCGCATCGTGCTATGTGTAAAAAGTTAAAATGTCGGAGAATTCGAATACAAACAACGAAAATGGGCTTAGCTGCCTGCATTGCAGTGCGTACAATTCAAAGCAACAATATCAGGAAATATTCGATGAAGTGGGCATCGAAATTGAACTCGCCGACCTGCTGGCCAAATATTTCCAAATAGTTGTCAAGCCAGACACCCAAAAGTCGCAGCTGCTGTGCCAGGAGTGCGTAAATACGCTGATACGTTTCTTTGACATAGACGAATTGCAACGGGAGCAGGATGCCGCCAATGCTGGCAAAAAGAATGCCGTCAAGCAGCAGGAGCTTCCAATTGTCTCGCCGCCCGTGCCCGCAGTTGCCGCCAAAAATGATCCAAAGCCCGCCATAAAGCAGATTCCGCCGCCGCCGCCGCCCAAAGTAGCGCCATCAGCGGCAAAAAGTGTGCCAGTTGCAGCCAAACGGTTGGCGACATCTATTAAATCAGAGAAACCTCCGTCGGCGGATGCTACGGATACTCCTCCACCAAAAGCCGCTGCAGGAACCCTGGCCATACGCATTACCAAGGCCAGAACTGTTATCCCGAAACGTTTGCCGGCTAAAAATGAAGTGGTCAAAGCAGGCGCAAAAGCGTTCGCCAAAAATCACAGCAGCAGCGAAGCCGGGCCAGCGGATCAGGAGCAAATAAGCGCACTAATACGTGACATTCTCGACGATGAGGAGGCGCCAGCAGATGATAAATTTGCTGAGGCAGCAGCCACAGTGCGACAGCTGGAAAAGCAATCAGGCAAGAACAAGCGCCAGCTGAAGGTGCTGGTGGAGCAAGAGCAGCCGGAGGAAGAGTGCCAGGCTCTGAACGAACAGGAAAACAATGAGGAGCTAGAGTTTCTGCTCGAGCCTGATGGTGAGCAAACATATTTAGATATATATCCATGCACGTATTATGTATACAGACATACTAGCTGGCATTTCCCGGATTTGCCCGGTTTTAGACGTCAATTTTCTTTCCATTTTCCGTCAGTGGAAGATTTAAACTTACCTGACCTAAACCCCTTTCCGTGCGTTGATAACCATTAAATAATTCAATTAGTCGAGGCAAACCATTTTATATATCAACTAAATATTGATCAAATTTCTTCACAGACGGCTCCTCCGACGTGGATGTGCGTCACTTCAAAGTGGAGCGTAAAGTCAGAAGCGTCAGATCGCAGTCACAGAATGAGAGCCAAAGCGAAGATGAATCATTCAAAGTGGAGCCTTTCAATTTCGTTTTGATCAAGGACTGTACGTAAGCTAAACCTATGTACATTAAATATCCACTTAACCAATTATCACACGCAGCTGACAACGTTGGCGATCTGCACGAGTATTTGTCCACCGTGGTCAAGACCAGCTTTGAGACTTTGCAATTCGATTGGTCCACGATGTGCCGTCATTGCTCGCTAAAGTCCAACAAATATGAGACGTTGCTCAATCACATGCTGAAGCGCCATCAGCTGTCGGAGGATCGCTACAGTTGTCCCATTGAGGGCTGTACAGCGGAGCTGCAGGGCCGCAAGTACTTGGCCATGCATTTGGTGGTGCTGCATGCGCCCGTGGCGGAGTAAGCAATTGCATAAATATATTTCAGACACCCCTCTTGATACCTTTCGTTTCAGAATACCCATTTATGGCAAGTGCCCCGAGTGCAACATGACCTTCTCCAACATATTGCAATACAACAAACACTCCTGCGCGCATGTCATTAAGAAGCGGCGCGGCATTCGCCTGTACTGCGAGATGTGCGGCTTGGAGTTTCCCTCCTGGAAGCGGTTAGTTCTTGATGTGGCTTTACTAACGCTGCAGTCGCAGCTAATTTATTCCATGCCCAATTGCAGCTTTAATTTCCACAATCAATTTCATTTGGAGCGCCACAGACCGCGCGTCTGTTTTGTGTGTGACTATGCGGACACCAACATAGATGAGCTATTCCATCATTTGCACTATGCACACGAGCCCGAGGGCACGCTCTTCTGTGATCTGTGAGTTTTATGTTTACCTGGTTTGAATTTCTTCTCTTACATATCGTTTTGCTCTTGCAGTTGTGATCGCAATTTTCGCGACGCTGCCGTCTTTATGGAGCACAATAAGTCGCATGCCAATGTCAGCAGTACCACCTACAGCTGCTCCGAGTGTAGCGCCAACTTTGAGACACGCGGTCGACTCAATGCTCACATGGTGGGTGCTAATTGTGTTTAATCCCTTGTAGAGATCAGTATCAGTTGTAGAAATATTTGTATTCCTGTTGAGTCGCGTAGTTATAGCCAGGTCGGTCGAGTTGAGTATTTTTTTTTGTTATCTTGATAAATTTTGTCACACGGCTTGCTTACCGCTGTATACAAGTAGGATTCGACCAGATCGGAGCACTATATCAAATATGTAGGAGCCAGATAGGAAAACTATGTCAAATATGTCGAGGCCAGATCGGAGCACTATATCAAACATGTAACAGCTTATGCATACATCAAACCTTTAATTGAAGCAATCTTTCGAAATATTTGCTGCTAACTCACTTTGGTGCCTATGATCGAAGTATTATGTTATTGTAGCTTGTTATGAGTGCTTGCAAGGATATTTAACTGCCTGTTAATTTTGAACTAATGCATATTTTTGTTTCTGTTACAGCGCTCCGTACATGGCAGCGTGATCAGCTGCGAGCTGTGCAGCCGCGAATTTGCCACGGAAGCTACCTACAACCTGCACATGAAGACGCATCTAATCATTGAGCGCGAGGTGCATGTGTGCAGCAATTGCGGGCTGCTTAGCGAGAATAACGACAAAATGATGGTAAGCTAAGGCGATATTATAATATATACTAACAGATATTACACGACATCGCTGGGGTGCATTAATTAAATGCAGTTGGAAGCGAAGTTAACTTCAGGCAGAAACAAAGACGCCTGAGTTGACCCAAGTTGTTAGATCTAAATGGTAATAAATTGTATATGGTAATATAATGTTGCTTTGCAGGCTCACGTCGGAAATGAGGATTCAGCCTGCCTTGGCATGGATGTGTATGCGGAACTGTTGCGCAATGCTTATATATGTGAATATTGCTCCGCGTACTTCAAGCACAAAAGTGATTTGCGCGCCCATCGCGATTCGGGCGTGCATAAGGATGGTTTCTTCTTTTGTCAGCCTTGTGGCAAGGAGTTTGCCGACATGAAACTCTATCGTCATCATTTGCGCAACTTTCAGCAACAGCGCACGGATGTGGCGCATCGCAAGCTAGAGATTGGTCTGTACTACATGTGTGATTATGAGGTAAGGCGCGAATTTATTATGTTTATTTATTTAACAAGCCTAACTAATTTATTTCTTGCAGGATTGCACTGAGTCCTATATAAACTGGAATTCGCTGTACACACATAAGCGACGCACACACGACGCCATCTGCAAGCAGGAGCCTCAGGCCAAGTATAACGAATGGATCTGTCAGTTCTGTCAGAAAGAGTGCCGCTCCAAAATGTCGCTCTCGGTGCACGTGGCGCGCAGTCACAACAACAGTGTGTATTTGGAAATAGTATAAATAAGTTTCCTTGTAAATGTTTTACTCTTTGTAGACAATGTGATTTGTCCGCTGTGCAAGGCCTCGTACAAGGATAAGGAGGCATTGGCCAAACATAACGCCTATTGGCATGAGCCCATCGAATGCCAGCTGTGCCTGAAGGTGGTCAAAAATCGTCGCAACTATGACACACACATGAATGTGGTGCACTCGAATAACAAACGCTATTTGTGCAGTGTCTGCCAAAAGGGTTTTTATCATAAAAGTGAAATGGAGGCGCATCAGCGGGTGAGTCTTCTTCATATATTATATTATATATTTTTAAAGAAACTCAATGTTAGAGAAATCTTAAATGATTTTGGGAACTCGGCTTGAAATTTGCTTGGGCAGAACTTTTAGCCGAGCGTGCTAAGTTTATCTGATATTTATCTAATCGACAAGTCAATCAAATTTGTATATGAGCTCTACAAATAGGCAGGACGGCTTTTTATGTATGTTCAAATTTCTTTTATATTCTTCTAATATTTTGTTTAGATCGCTTAACTTATTAATTATGTATGGAGAATAGCTATATGTAGGATTTTGGATTGTAAAAGTTATATATTTGTCATGTATTCAACATTTTTGGTAGTTGTTATTTAAAGCTTATTGTCAGATTTCAGCGCATAAAAATCAGTTGGTTAGCTTCTAAAATGTGGGCTTACTCTTGTCTCTGATCAAATGTTTTCTTAAGCTAGGGCGAGCGAATATTTCATATCACATGATTTTTTTATATTATATATACATAGGTATATATATCCATAATAATTGGTAATAATTTCCAGTTTATTTGAATATTCTTAATTAATTCTAATGAAGAGGAAAGCTCAGATATAGAAGGTAAAAGATTCGCTTTATTGAATTGATAATAGAATATATGTATTGAATGAGCACATAACAAGGTTTAATGTATTGTTAATAATTAGCAAGGATATCACCATTCGTTAGATGAGTTTTCACTGTAATTGTGAGTTCTCAGCAGTTTATTTCTTCCGTGGGCTTCTCGTTGTTTTTCATTTTTCCACTGATGTTTGGAAGTGAACATAGGTCATATAGCTGCCGTCGAAGGCCAGCCTATCCATATTCAATATTCCTTGAAATTCCCTGTGCATTTTCTCAACCGATTCCTTGCTAGGGCGTTAGGTCATGTCCAGGGCGTTAGCTATATCCAGCGGTAGGCTCCAACGGCCCGCAGCATCACGGATTTGCATGCAGTAAAAAACAAAATTTCAACATAGCCGCAGCTAAACAAACCTAAAATTGAATGGAGGCGAAAAAGTAGAGTCCATCAGAAAGAGAGAGAGCTAATAAATTTAACAAATGCCTATCCCTATCCGCAGCTGCATACCCAGTCGTTCAGCTGCGAGCACTGTAGCTTCATCACGCGGAACAAGAAGTCGCTGTCGGTTCATGTGCTGGGACAGCACTTCAAACGTTTCGCCTTCGAGTGCAAGATCTGCGACAAGCGCTTCGGACGTCGCCAAGGATTATCGAATCATATGCAGCGTGTGCATGGGTCCAGGTATACCTGTCGTGATTTCTTTGACGAGGGCTGCAGCAAGTCCTTTGGTTCCACCACGAAGCTCAATATGCATGTGCGTAAGGTGCACAACAGCAGCATTTACCTGGAAGATGAGCCAGTCAAGGCGGAGGAGGGCGAGGGCGAGGGCGAGGGCGAGGAACTGGAAGACGAGGAGGGATCAACCAGCGAAGGTCCATCCACATCAAAGAAACGCTGCATACGCATCAATGCAAGCACACAAATCGAGTTTATAGGCGACACAGCTGTTGCCGAGGAAAACGAGAGCCTCGCCGGCTCGGAAATCTTTGAGGAGTTTCAGGAGGAGATCAAGGAAGCGGACGCGGAGCCGCCAAAGAAAAAAAAGCAAAGGCAATGTTAATGTTGATTAGAACTAAGTGGAATGCGCATGATTTGATTGTTTTTGCTTTTATTTGTATTCGCTAAAGCAGTTTTAAAACTTTTGATTTCAATTGATTTAAGTAGTTGCTACCCATAATTTTGAACACAAAATATGTCGGTAAAATTGACATACATAATGTAATGTATGTTATATAACATTTTAGATATAACTAGCTGCTATTTTTTATATTTCGGTTTTGTCAACTTAAGTTTCAATTATTTTCACTACTCCTATTCACTCCACTTTCCGCTCATTCGCACTTGTCATTCATGGTCTTGGCTTAACATTAGTTTGCTTCACCATTTTCACATTATTTTCTCTACATTCTACTCTCACACATCTTGTATTTACATGCCTGATTTTCTTCACACTTTTCATATCATTTGTCAGGCATAAATTCTGGGTCTTAGTATAAGTTTGCTTAAGCCTTGTTCGCGTGTATCTCTTCTCATTTGAACACTTTTATCGCAGTAACTATATAAGCTAGTATTATGAAATTTCAAATTTGGTATACAGACGCCTCTATACCCTACACAGCTTAAGTTCTTTTTTAAATACTACAAACTTTTAACTATGCTAACGAAATTTTTCTAAATACAAATTACATTTGTACAAAAAGAAAACACAAATAAAATGAAACATGTGTTGTGGCTAAAATTTTGTTTTACAGGGTATCTGCGAGTCTTGTCATATATATTTATGTACATACATTTACGGCAGCAAATTTGATTTATTAAAGCGTTTTGCAGTTTGGTCATTAAAAATTGCGTGAACAAATTAAATCAAAGTTTGTTGTGAATGTTATGATTCGATTTCTGATACTCTAGAGCTTGGTACAGCGTATCTGCTGATCGGAGCAGCAGCACACATCAGCTTATAAAATAGTTTCAATTATATAGAGATATTACATATCGACTAATTTCAATTGCATTTAATTAGCCAGAGTCTGGCGGAAGCAAATTTGATTTATTAAGCGTTGTGGTTTGGTCATTTAAACTTTGCAGGTTGAGTGCGGAGCTTACCTGGAAAGCAAGAAAATAAATAAGCAAATAGAACAGTTTCTATATTCAATTTGAGGTTAGGTTCCGCTTAGATACTCACTGGGCTAATGGGTGTTATAACGATCGCGGTGCGCGTGGTGCACTGCAGCAGCGCCGTGTCCTCCGTGGACTCATCACAGTCACCATCCGCATCGACATCGACATCGGCGCCAATGTCGCTATCGATTTCCCACGATGGAAAATGGTCCATTTCGCCCTCACAGTTCAGATCCTCCTCCTCGAAGTCCTCATACTCGTCAATGAGTATAACTGTAGGCAATATACACAATAAAAAAGTTTAGATCAATTATTAGAATATTCCAATTGGAATTCTCTAAAAGATATTTTGAATGAGTGTGGAGTTGGTATTTTGCTTTCAAAATAAAAGTTTGTAATTTGCATTTCACAAGTAATATGTGCTTTATTCAAAATAACAACTAAAAAAAAAATTAAATGAATCTTTGGTGTTGTGCGGGCAGTTCAGGCACGGCCTGGCTTACTTGAACTATCTGGCGGCGTTGGTTTCGCACCGGAATCCAAGGATTGTGCGCCCTCATCTGGCATATTGATGCGTTGCTCGTGTTTGCTATATGGCTCCGATGTGGATCTATGCAGGCTGTTTTTTTTTTTAATACAAACATCTATATAATGTCTTTAACTGATATATTTTGTAATGCCCTTGCAGAAAATTGCCCTGAATTGGTTCAAGGAGACATCTTTGATAGTCGAGAAGATAATAATGTGTCTGAATACCAAATCGGATTGCTTTAACACTTAGCTTTCATAGGAATAATTAGTCTTGCATAGAAGACTTTTATCTATCTTAAAGAACTCCATCTTAACTCTACAATAATGAGTTTTTTATCTCACTTTCAAAAACAAAGAATCTTTGGAAAATCCTATGAACATCGTTTCACTATACAATATCAATATCCAATAATTTCCGATCACGATCAGTCAAAAATTATTTCTTTAATAAATATATCTTGCGTCTAAGACATCTCCAATAGGAGCTTTTTTTTTTGGAAAGAAAACTATTCTGGATATATTCTTTTAACTTCTAACCCTACGAAACAATCGATCTCTTATTGAGCTCTTTATAGACCAAGCTCAGAATATTATACCGTTTAATTGTCATATATCTGCAAGGGTATTTCAAGTTCGGCGCGCCGAATCTTTCATTTATTTCTCTCACGCACTTACCTTAAAGTAACGCGTTTTTTAGTTCTATTCTCTAAATCAGTCATAAATACATCATTGTGCTGTTGCTTCTCAGGCGTTAGCTGATATGGGTTAAGCACGGAAGACTATAAGTATATATGCCATATATATATATATCTTGTATGTGATTAGTTGCCATATATATATGTGTTTACCTTTGTATTGGTCGCTGTATGCTGTGTATGCGGCATGGGTGTTTGTGTGGCAATCGCATCCGTTGTGGTTGTCACCGTCTGTGTGGAGGTCAGCGCCGTCTCATTGCTGTCCAGACGATCCACAGATGTGGCATCACCTGCTGCTCCGGTTGGCGTCGAGACCAGCTCGGGATGCACGCTAAGCGTGGCGGTTCGCTTCCACACATCGATCATGCTCTGATTGTGTGTGTGATGCAGATTGTGACTGTGACTAGGGCTAATGGAATGTATTTTGGGTTTGGGATTTGCTGGCAACGGAAGCGCTAAAAATCTATCACGATCCTCCATATAGGCCTTGATCAGTATATCGAGTTTCTCCTCAATATCCACGACCTGCATTAGACATAATATATATATTATCTATAGCATAGCTGGTTCCTCGCCTTCTGCTCACCTGACGCTCAACCTTAACCACACGCGAGGCTAGGCTGATTTTCGAGGCATACACATCCTTTGCCTTGGATCCTTGTTTGCCCAGAATCTGATCAAGACTGTGAAATATACAAAAAATCGAAAGTATATTTAATAAATGTTAAAAACAATCGAACTTTTAAATAGCACCTATGACACCCAGCTACTTGAGCTTCGAATCTGTATATTTGTTCTACCAATATAAAAGCAAAACTTATTTACTTTTATTTGAAGCTTTGAGCGAAAATATTGCTTGTATTCATTTAAGCTCAATGTAATCAATACCTGGCTCATTTAAGACTGTCTCCATGTAAGAAAGAATTTACTTATGGTATATTATTCGCTTGAAGCTGTATAATCATTTGTGACAATTAATCTAATCTCAAAGCTAGAGAGACGCGCTTTTAGCAATCAAGAAATGTATATAATTTACAAAGCTTTGTGTCTAGTTGACAGCTTGATGCATATATTGTATTAAATAGGTACAATCAATTCTTCTTAAAGCTCAAAGCTTCACTGTACTTTCTTACTAACCAGCTACTTTACTCCAAGAGCTTTTTTTAGCTCAATTAACTCTCTCCCTAAGCGGTTGGATATGTATTAAATATATAATAAATCTTTCTTAAAGCTCAAAGCTCAACTGACTCTTCATAATCAGTTATATACGTACATTATAGAACTTTTAAGCTACTTTAAAGCTCGACGTTAGATAAATTAATAAATTAATGAGAGTAATAAATCCTTAAAGCTCAATGCTTAACTAATTCTCTCGCTATAAATTCTATTGGGTCCATTTAAGCTTACTGAAAGCTCAAAGGTCCTGAAAAGATATTCATTGTGCTTCTGCAACAATAAGCTACTATTTATTTTTTAGCTAATTTCTAGCAAAAATTTGTAAGTAGTTGAAGTGTTTTTTGCCATTGGCAAAAAATTGTCCTTACAAATATTATGTATACGTACCGCAAATGCAGCATTTTGACGCGACCCAGCAAATCGACGTGACCTGTAAACGGTTTGAGATGCATTTTTATAAATAATTTGAATACGAATTGAAGATGCGTTAAAAGCTAACCCGCCGCATATTGTTCCATGACATCTTTGACATCGTATGGCTTCAATGCCTCCTTAAACTTGCGACGTGCCACGAAATACTTGAGCTGAAAATTGCAATATTGTAGGGTATAGTTTATGGAGTGATTGATAGAGTATATTATTACCTTGCGTATGAAGCGTATGGCGATCTTGTGCCGATTTGTCAGCTGCGTGCAGCGCGGCTCCTCATCCTCATCTGGGGGCAATTTATGAATCAGAGAGATTGACTTGTGCGTTAGGTTTTGGTTGCTTGCTTCGCGCGCGTGGTTAAGCGGCAATTTGTTTAAGTTTTGTTTTGTTTTTTTTTTTGTTTTTTGTTTTACATTTAATCAAGTCAATCCAACAACACACAATTAACACATACAAGTAGCGTTTTACACATACATATTTAATTATATGCATATTTAGTAGTTAATATAGAACGTACAATAAGTATACAGATATTAGGTTAGTTACGTTTATATCAAATCACAATGTAAGAGGGGGGGCTTTTAATAATTATTATTAGTTCTTGGGTTGGGGGGGGGGAAAGTTAGGAAAAAGCATTGTGAAAGCATTGAAAGCAAGCGTTGTGTGTGTGTGTGTGTGTGAGTGTGGGTGTGGGTGTGGCCATGTAGCGTAGGTGAGCAGTTGTGGGAGTCCTGTACAATTGCAACTCCCTATATACATATATAACATATATATATATACTGTATATCTGATGCGTATGTATTGAGTTAGTACTTACTACAGAGCTAACAAAATGCAAAAAAAAACTTAACTAAGTTCTACGAGAGTCTAGAGAGCGCATGCTAAACCAAACCTAGCCATACATATACACTTCCTCCGGTCGTGGCATATTGAATTCTAGCCGAGACTTAAGCTTAGTTGCAAGTTTTTTACGCACTTGCCACATAGAATGCGCCGTGTGCCGCCGCCGCCTCCCGTTCGCCGACGCCGCCCTGCAATGTGCCCGTATCCAGAAAATGTGAAGCAGCCGCAAAAAAGCGACCCGTTCGTCCTCGACCAGCACTGGCCGTCGGACTGGCACCGGGATTGTTGCATTTGCCGCTGCCCGTTGGCTCCGTCATGTGACCCGCCTCCAGGTCCTCGGCGGGCGTGACGCGCGGATTGCGCAGCGAAAATGTTGAGCCAAAAAAATCACCGTGCAAAAAGCCGCACAGCACCACGGGTATGGTCAGTGTATTAGAGCTAGCCTCGACCCTCGGCTTAGCGTCAGCTGAGGGCTCTGCGGCTGAAGCCAGTGTGCCCAGGCTGGCGCTATGAATGCAATTGGCCAGCTTAGCTGGCGACGGCTTTGGCTTTGCTGCTGCAGCGTGTATATGTGTGGGTGTGAGTGTGAGTGTATGAGTGTGTGTGTGTGTGTGTGCGAAAGCGCATTAGTTTCGGCTTGGTTGGACCCTCAAGGCTTAAATCATGTGTTATCCTTTTTTTTTGTTTTCTGTTTGTTTTGTGTTTTGTTTTGTTTTTTTTTTACGAACCAATCAACAACATCAAATTCAAATTCAAATTCAATTTAAAATGCAACCACAACATCGACACAACCACAACACTCAATATAAGTTTATAGTATACGATATATGAATCTCAGGTGTATTGGTATTTGGTATTGGAGCCTGGGCAGGACCTTGTAGACTTACCGTCTGAATTTTTTATATTTTTTAAGCAAGTTGTTTCAGCAACTGAATCTTCGCTAAAACTCGGATTCATGGATTTGCCATTTTGTACTACCTCTGAAAATGTCAAACCAGATGTTAAAGTTGTTTTTTTGTTTCATATGCTTTTTGTTTTTAATAATTTTGTTTTTGTGTGCCAATCAGTCAAATCAATCAATCAATCAATCAATCAATGCAGAGACACGGTAGTCTAGATGGGTCGCACATAACGGTTACAAAAAAGGTTTAAATCAACACACACCAAAAACTTAGAAGGGATTTGTTTTGTTCACGTGGTTACGTTTCAACTTTAAACATTCTTTAAAAAAAAAAACAATTTTTTTTTATATATTTTTTGTTGTTTAGTTTTCGCTTTAAATCTTTGGGTTTATTTAGCGAGTGCGCAGAGAGAAAATATTGAGCAAAAAATACTAATGAAAATATAACTACATTTTCTATTAGAAAAAGGTGTTGTACTAAGTGCCAGGTATGAATTATGATAGATGAGTATTGCAAGCCAGTTGAGATTAGATAAGAATACCCTGTTATTATAACTGCTGAAGTTGTTGTTAGTGGGTTCTATATTTAGTAAGCATTAAGTTCATTCCCCATTCAAGGCTCACTATAATTATTTCCTTAGCAACTTTTTGTCAACCTGAGCCTTGTCTCAGCAATTGTTGAAAGATCAGCTTGTTGTCTTTTTCTTTGTATTAACAACAGCTTAATTGACAGTCAATTCATTAAGTTTCATTTTCTACATCCTGTTGCTGCTTAATTTTTTATACATTTCTTTTCAATCTTGCAATAAATCTACGGGGTTCCAATTAGTTTCCTACTCCTACTTGCTGCTTAATTTTTTATACATTTCTTTTCAATCTTGCAATAAATCTACGGGGTTCCAATTAGTTTCCTATGTCAATTGTCGCATTGTTATATTATTAGCTGATTTATTGCCATATCTTTGCATTAAGTGAAATTTATTGTTTTTGAATTGGGGGGCGTTTTGTTTTCTGTGCACTTAAAGTCAGACGTTTGAGCATTTGAGTATGCACATGAAAACCTGCTGTTTAAATGAAGTAAAATAATATAATAAGTTTGTAAATATAGCTGGGTTTCTTCGTTAAATTGGCACGAATACGAATATGCAGAACACTTTCCCACACTGAACTGATTTAATGCTTGACAGATTCACTGAATTATTGCATTCTACATGTTTTTTATGTCTTATATAGAAAAGTTGGCATGAATAATGGCAAAAATAAAAAGGATGTCATGTTTACGTGAATTTAATTTTATGTTTAAACACGAAGAAAAAGTGTTGAAACGTGCACTTCAATTAGAATGCCTTTCAGTGTTGTACAGTGCTGAACTAAATTATTAAACTTCTAAGTTTTGCGTATGATATTTAAGCTTCTTATAGGCAGTTAAGTCTCAAGACAACTATATTATATTTCAAAATTTAATACAACAACAAATTTCCGAAAAATGTATAAAAAAACCTGCATAAATATTTATTTCATAATTTTTGGCAAAGCAGAGAAATAGAAAAAAGTTTGCTGTTTTCCTCTTTAAAAAAAAAAACAGGAGAAAATTGTGAATTTCGAAAATTCACTAACATAAGCAAAAAGCTGATGAAAATGCAAATGCCTGCAGTGGAATAGTAAAATATTTGATTATCATTTGTGTAAATTGTTTTCACTGATGCAATGCGCAGCGCAAATAGCAAAGGAAATTGTTGTGAATTCTGTGAGTCGGTGGAGTGAGATAAGTTGATATAGAATGAGTTTTGCACAGATTGGAGAGTACGAGTAGAGAGCATGCATGGTTGGTCGGGCCAAGACAAATAGAAAACGATAACTTGTTATTGTTTGTTGGTTTGTGTGTGTGTGTGTATGTGTTTTTTTTTTATTTTCTCATTTTTTTTTTATGATGCGTGTGTGCGTGTGTTTGGATGTGTGCAAACAGAATATGTAATAAGTGGAACTGTATTGGAATATTATAACAACTGCTGAGGCAAACTCTTCAAACAGAACTCAGCCATCATCAGTGAATGCAAAAAGGCTTGAAAACAGAATTATTGAAAGAAAACTTACCCAAGTTCTCCACAGATGCGTTGATATCGCGTATGGTGCGCGTATAACGCGTGGATGCCCGCGATGAGCCCGGCGGCTTGGACATGGGGGTGCCATCCGGTCCGGGCGTCTGGATGGTCTGGCTCTTGTGACGCCTTATCGTCGGCAGGCGGGCCACAAAGGATGTGTTGTGCTTAAAACTGGATGAGGCCCGTCTGTGAAAAACAATATGTGCATATCAATATTTGTTCAATCAGGTAAACATAAATGTTTACAAATACAAAAAGATATTGAAAGGGATTTCAATAGACGGGATAAAGTTCAGCGTAGTAAATGTAGCTAGTAGATAGTTGCAATAGGTTTGTGTGTGTGGCGTGTGTTTGTGTAAGTGGGTGTATTGGGTGTAAGAGGGTGCTTAGGTGCTAGCCTGAAGTTGTGAGTTTCGGGGGAAAAATACATGTGGCAGGTGCGGGGCAAGCTATAATGACAGCAGTTGAAAGGCGCACTTGAGCTTTGAATTTGCTTGAGCTTTTTAGCTTAAGCTTTATATAATTTGCTATTTAATGGAACGAATTTGAAATAAAATACTAATAAAGTCGGATAGTTCAACTTTAAGCTTTAAATGTGCTTTGTAATGCTCATGATAAAAAGAACGTTTGCTTAATCCTGCATTTATGGGAAATTGTTGATAAAACCAGCACCAAAAACTTATTTTATGGTATAGCATATTAAATGAAGCCTCAATTAAGCCAGCTAGTTAAATTAGAAGCATTACTTGGACTTTGTTACACTCATGAAAAACAAGAGCTTTTGATTAATCCTATAACTAATGGCGGTTTTTAATATCGTTTAGATATATTCAGCTATGAAAGGTTACGCTGTGGTATGGCATTTTTAACACTAATTAATTGATTAATTGATTTCCGAATGTTTTAATCAAGCTTTGAACCTACAGTGCTTGAAAAACATAGTGATTTGCATGTCAATTTTGTCAGTTTAACAAGCCTTAGGCTATTGTTAATTCTAATAACAGTCACAGGATGTGATTGTAGATTGTATATATCAAATGCTTAAACTTTCAGCTGGTGTCATTGTGACTTTAAATACACTACATTACACTAAAAGTTACATAGTTACAAAATGTGCATTTCCTTTAAAGATAGTGTACAAATATTTGTGTTAGTTTTCGATGTGTCTCTGTGCATACTTGTTGTGAATTTTAATTGTAAATAAAAGAGAGGAGAAATGGGAATAAAAAGCATTTAAATTGCTTGATTGAACTCACATGTTAATTATAGTACACATTATATGCATTTACGTGTGTGTGTGTATGTTAATAAATATATATTTTTTTTGTATTTGTATTTTTTGTTTTGGATCACACAGCAGCAGCATAATGAGAATCAATTTGTATCACATTGATTAATTTACTTATATCATCGATGAAAACATAAATTAAACAATTGCAAAACAGAATTTAGCATATGTTATTGTTTTACAATAAACGAATTTTTTTTTTCTTAAATATTTTTTTGTTAACGCTTTTTAATAGTTTTACTAAAAATATTTTCGAAAATAGCCAAGTTCGAGAGATAGAGTATGAATTTAGAAGAGTTAGATATAAGTATGTAGACAGAGTTAGTCAGATAGGGTGCGTTATATAGAAGCTGCGAATTACAAAACTCGATAATTGTGTGTTGGGTTTAAGTTTTTTTTTTTTTTTTTTTCTTTATTTACTTAGGAGCATTTGATGCATTTGATGTTTATGACTTGGTGCTTGATAAGCAAAATACCCTATGAAACCAAAACATGAATAGCATTTGCATTTGAAATCATTTTGCTTTTTGATTTTTTGTGAGTATTGTTTTTATTTTTTTTTGTCTTTTTATCACTTTTACCTATATTCGGTTATGTTTTTTAATAATCGCTCCCAGTTTTCAGAACTGAAAAGTTTATATATAAAAATTATTATGAAAGAAAATGATAGAGGTACGTAAAAAATGTTAAAATTAAGTACGCTGAAACTGAAATTGTTAATCGAGAGACGGAGAGATAATTTTCTTTTTAGTTTTGGGTTTTGTTTTCTGATTTGTTTTGTTTTGTTTTTGTGGCTTATGTGGGTATTATATAAGTGTTGGTAGTATGTACAAACTACACATGCGTTGGACGTTGGATGTAGTGTATTGTACAGACTAACAGTTGTTTAAGGCACTCGGAGAACTTTCCGCACGCCTTTCGCAGTGATTCTCATAAATTGTACTGCGGCACGCACACGTTTTGGTCACACTTTTTAATACAAATCATTCGGTTTGTTGTGTTTATGTGTGTGTGTGTGTGTGTGGTGTGGAGTGGGGTGTGGGCGTGTAATTGTGAATTTGTACAACTGGATTGCATGAAAAAACTCTTAGTTGGACCAAAGAAAAAATTCCCTTTTGAAAATTGATTTTAAAATATAAATGTTAATAATTTAAATAATTATAGCAATTAAAAATGTAATACTAATAATAATGACCTAATCGTTAAAAATGGAGAACAACAAAGTTGAAAAATATTTAACGACTTAAATATTTTTGAATTAGAAATTTGATCTTGGTTAGAAGCAGGCTCTTCAATAATTCAATAAATTACTAAATAATAAAACTATACTTAAAATAAATAAAAATCTATGCTAAACTTTCCTCATATATGAATAGTTTTCTATGGACCAGTTGAAGAGTTTTTTCATGTTTTTCCAAAAGCGTAATTGCAATTGTTTTAACTAGTATCAACTAGAATAAACTAGAGTATACTTGAATATTCATATATTCCGCTGCAAATCCCTGATTAAATGTTGAATGCTGTGTGCGGCATTTGTTCTGCCCAACGGGGACAAGGGGGGGTCTACTTACGATGCGGGCGGACTTGGCAGCGCCACCTGATGTATCTTCCAGGTGGCCACCGAAACGGAATGCTCATCGGCCGCATAGCAGCGCCAAACGGCCTGAATGAGCGTCGCCGCCGGCTGGCGACGCCGTATCATGTGCTTCTGGCGCTGCTGCTGCTGCACCTTCAGCGCAAACCCGCTGCCCAGAATGCCCTGCAATGAGAGGATGGTATGGATGGTTGGTTGATTGGAATCCGGTCGGCGAATGCATAAATAAACGACAAGGACTTACCGCAGGGAGCGCAAAGAAGGATATGCCCAATAAGGCACAGCACGAGGCAATCAATTTGCCCTGCCAGGTGATGGGTACCATATCGCCATAGCCCACAGTGCAGAGCGTTATCTGGGTCAAAGTTGAATAATTTAAGTGCTTGCAGTTTGGTTAGTTTTCGGTAACCTACCACGCCCCACCACAACGCCTGTGCAAAATTGCTGAACTTCTCGTTAACGTCCTTCTCCCACATGTAAACAAGGAATGATGCAAAGATGAGACCTAAAAATCCAATATACATGGTTGTGATGAGCTCCTAGAAAGGCAACATATGGATTACAAGCTGGATTAAGCTGCAGGTTAGAGGTTAGGCAACCTGTCTGTGTGCGTATACAACCGAACCGAGCAGCTTCCAGGTGCCACCGCGTCGATCCATGCGCACCATGCGAAGTATCTGAAAGAATCTTAAACCACGCAATGCGCTCGTCGCAAACACCTGGCCAGAGGTGCCCATGCCTAATACTACAATTGAGGCTAAAATGGTGATAATATCTAAATGGGCAAAACATTCGATAATCGAATAAACGAGCTGTCATTGTTTATGTGAAATCCAATCTCACCTATAATACAAAACGGTTGCTTTATAAACTTAAGCCGTCCCAGCGTGCCCTGGTAGCGCGATCGGCAGCCCGATGACCACAGACGCGCCCCAAACTCCATGGTAAACCAGATGACAACTATGATTTCCATGCGAAACAATATATATACAGCATCCTCCTCGTATTCCTTGATGGTGGAAAACACGCTCAATGCGAGACATGTGAACACCATCAGAAAACTGCAAAAAATAATACAAATATTACCCATTACAGTTAGATCATATAAAACGAGGAAACATGCACTTTTTTTCGTCAATTATTATTGATTTTAAGAAGAAGGTGTAGGATTGCAAAATAGGTACTCATTTTATAGCTAAATATTTGGCTTTTTTCTCATTTTAAGAAAGTGTAGATGTTCTTCCATGTTAAATTTGTTAGCCTGGAACATTTCTATAAAAATATGTAAGTGACAGTTTTCGATTTTTACTGGCCAAAAATTTAAATTTAGTTTTAAACATAATTGAATTCCTGGGAAGACATGGGAAATCATTTTATTTGGTTTTATGCCGAATTACTGCTCTTATTATGCTCTGTTCTGAGTTTAATTTAGAAATTGAGCAGAGAACTTAACCAAAAATTTAACTATATAACTTTATTGGATTCATATCTAAATTAAATTTAATAAATTGCCTAAAACCCAGATCTGGGTTTCAAAATTTATAAATGTAAGGAAGTTCAAAATAAACGAACAATAGGGCTTTCTTCTTTCTGCCTGTTTTTGCTAGGGTTTTTCAAATCAAAAAATTAGTCCAATTGTATTTAGTAATGAATAATCATAATTGAAATTAAGCCTAAAGTTTCTCTCTTACGTGTATTTAATGATAAATAATTTAAATTATTAATTACTAATTAAGAGTTCTGTCTAGTTTATACGATTATATTCTTTGCAATCGAACTCAAGTAAGGGTATATATTCAACATTTATCCGCTGAGATTCATTAAGAAATCATCGCTTTCTCAAATTGATCTTACGAATTGTTGCAATTGTTATAGTCTATTTAGATGATTGATCAGTTTTGTACTTACACCATCACATGATAAAATATTGCATGCAGGCCCCGCGGTCGCTCTAAGAAATTGTAGAGCCGACTTTGCATCCGCCGGTAGCGGGCATCGCGGCGATGTGTGCCGCGATTATAGTTCAGCGGCTTCCCCAGGAGTGACATTCGCGGTTGCAGAAATTGTTGCGATTTCTTTGGTCCCGCCGGTCTACATTTCCTGCAAAGCATACCAAATAAAAAAAAAGCACATTAATTAAACAATTTAATAAAAAATTCAGTTAGTTCTTATCGCACCCCTTGTAGCCCATTATATCATAGAATGCATAAACATCGTTCTCGGGATCCATGTTACGTTTAACATGCCCCTCAAAACCTAATCACTGCACTAAAAACTAAAAACAAAGCACAAGTAACGCTGATAATAGAGCCCAGTAAATGGGCTGTACGACGTGTGTCGCGTTTGGCGTTCAAATCACAACTCGATCGTCTGTTGAGCGTTTCGAGCGTTTAAAACCCACACAGCTTATAGACTTTCCAAAAACCTCCATGTGTAAATTTTTATTAATTATATACATAAACTGTTTTTTTTTTCTTTTTTTTTTCTACACACCTTGCATTTTTATGGTCGCCTGTGTCTATGTAGACCTTTATTTGATTTGATTTTATTTTATTTTATTGCACCGGAGACTTCGTCATAAAATTTTGCCAAGACTTCAATTTCGTCATTTACTTTTTTTCGCATATACATTTTGTTGTAGTTCTTGTTGTTGTTCTTTTTATTGATCGTTCAGACAGCTCCTTAGTTTAGTCACGATCTCTAGAGGTTATTGTTTTTTTTTCGTTTTGGCGGCAACGTGTCGTATGCTTGATGTACGTCATTAACAAGACGTTGCCGCCCTTTTTGGCAGATAGCAAATGCAAATATGGGCAAACTGCTTTTCGGGGGTGTGTGTTTTTTTTCAATTTGGCATTTACGACTGCCGCGGAAAAGTTTTATTTTGCGGCTTACAGCTACGTACTTTTATGCTCTTTAAGGCTAATAAATGCAAATGTTTTACGAATCCAGCTTTAAGCCTTAGGCAGGCGCTCACTGCATTGACCCAGTTTTTAGAAAACTAGTTTGCATAGCTTGTGTTACTCGTGGCCTGCAGCCTACGGGCGGGTCAGCTGCCAGTTCTCATTGTCAACGTATAAAGCCAATACAAATAGATGTCGTGAAAATGCCTATAGAATGCAGGCCTTTGCCTGCATCTTTTGATTGATTAAAACATACTTTAAATTGAACGTTCTTAATTGCTGCATTCAGTTTTATTTTCCAAAATTAGTTGCGCTTATTCAAACTGAGTCTTGTCTTAGTTAAAAATATAATATTTGGGCACTATGACTAATATCTAAAAAAAACTTGTCAAAGAAAATATACTCTAATAACTTTAATTAAATTTATTGGCATACAAAAGCCAATACCAACAAAGCGAACTCTTTTTTTCATCGCTTTTAATTAATGTGTGTGTGGTTTTTCTCAAGATTTTATTAACTCAGTTCCTTAAAAGACTTTGGCATTAACTGTTAAATACAGTTAAGCGCCAAGAGAGCAAGTCCATAAGTCAGTTAACGTTTATTTTGCCCTAAAAAGGCTCAGATTGAAAAGCATTCAAAAGTAATCTCATATTAATTTATTTAAGATAAAAATCAGTTAACATGTCTCACGTAGTAAAATATCTTATTTTAAAATTGTTTTTATTAAATTAACATTATCCGAGATTAAAAAGAAATTCAAATTCCTAGAACTCTCGACATATTCCACCTTTTTTGATGCTAACCAAAATTCAACACATCAAAAAAGTACATATTTACTTTTCTTTGTTCTTCTTATTGAGGTGCGACTGTAATGTGCACGCCCTGTAGGTTCTCATATGTAAATATGTGTTTAGATACGTGCATAAGTATTAGTGCAACGTTTGCTTTAAAAGCTTTTTGCTATTAACTTTACAAGCACGCTGAGCTTTAAGCTTGTTAAGCAGTTACGTGCATGTGCCGTGTATGTGGTCTAAGTTAGCTTCAAGATTTGTTATACAGTAAAACTTGACTAAGATACACAATTGAATTGGTTTAGATGAATATTTATGGAAACTTGTCTCTTATTATAAATAGCATTTATTCTTAATCATATATTTATTTGTTTAAATCAAAGAAATTCCCTCGAAATACAAAAAAAAATTACATTTATAGGGTGAAATGTTAGCTCAACATGTTTAGTTTTTATTTTCCATGCAAAAAACTATTCTGATTTGGAAATCAGAATTATGACACATCAATTGCATATTATCTTGTTTCCAAACGCTATTGCCATTCGGAATTACAGAAACTTTTGAGCTGGTGAATATTGTGGCGATAAAAACCATCTAATAAAGCAATATAAATTTTCCCATATACAATTTCTTAAGCTTTGTGCCAATTCGAAAAAGATATTTAGTGAATTTGTTCTCATTTTGCAGTTTTTCCTTTGTTGTCGAAATGGTCATAAATTTTAATAGTGTGTAAACAAAATCACATGTGCACATTCAGTTAAAGAACCAAACTATGCTTAAATACCCTAACATATACTCTATGCATATTATAATTGCTAATTGTGCGTGGGATGCAAAACCAGTTTTGAGCTCCAAACAGCTTGCACTTCTATTACAAAATAATAGTAAACCAGGTACATAACAATTGAAAGCATGGCGGAAGTTTTGGCTTAGATGTTGGCAATTCATCAACTGATCGAGATGTCGCTTTCCATAATTGAAAGCTTTTATAGACACGATTCCTCTCTCACGACTAGAATTTAGACTGAAGCCAATGTTAATTGGTTAATAGGGTATATTGGTTTGTATATGTAACAGGCAGAAAAGCAGCTTCGTTCAAAAGTTTCAGAGACGATAACTTGCTCCGTTTCCAAGAAATCCCTGAATTTTGATTTTTTTTTAAAGCATATCTCGCATTTTAAAGCAGCTTTTGTTCCCAAATTTGGTATATAGATAGTATATACAGATCCGGAATATTTATTTTTTTGCTAACTTTCTCCAATTCACCCCAAAATTGTACGAAATGTATTTTTAGAGCTTTATTTTTGGTCTTTGGTATTTAAGCTCTCTTGGTTGTCATAATAATGCCTTGAAAGAATAAGATCGGACTTTAAAGACCGAAGTTATTTGAGAATTCGTTTCCCATAGCGTGGAGCTAAGGGAAGAAGCAGCACAGCGGCGTGTGTGTGTGTGCTAGTGTAGGAATGTAAAGAAGAAAGCTTGAATGCTGGCAAAGGTAGCTAGGTGCTGGTTTCAGGGTATTTGTTAGTCGGGCACACCCGACTAGAGCACTCTTAATTGTTTTGATTACTGCGAGCGCTCGTGACACAGAAACTCAGATATTATATACTAGAAGTACGAACTATATCTAATCTCCAAAAATAGAGCGAAAACAACGCTTTTTTTGCAAAAAAATTATTCCAGTAGTTAACTGAAAAAGAAAAACTCTGAAAAATGTTTTTTTTTTCAAATTTTAATGTAATGCTTGTTGTATTTGTTTGTTTAGTCTGAAGCTGGCTTAGGTTAGACGATAGTTAAAATATATATTATGTACGTATGTGTTGTGTCTGTATTGTGTGTCTGTGTGTATGTATCGTGTGTGTGAGTGCACGTTTTGGCCGTTTATATGTATATACATTAGTTGCTTTGTTGGAAGGCGGTAAATAATATAATAGTAAAAATATGTATAATATGAACGATAGATTTATGTATTATATCGAGATATATGTATATACATATATATGGTTGGGTTGTTGTATCCGTCTATATATTAGTATAAGCATGATACAAGAATCACAAATTGTTTTTGTTGCTGTTAGCACCGCCCGCTCCAGGTGTCCGGGTGCCCAGGTAGCCATCCAGGTGGGCATTTCTCTGGCGCTCACTTCTTGGCATCTATTATGATCTCGTCGCCCGATTGTATATTATAGCTGTAGAGCTGTTTGTTGGGATAGCGCATCTCCTCGGGCCCAAACTCCTTGTAGTCCTGGTCCAGATAATAGAGACGCATCTTATTTGGCGCCAAATTGATGAGCTTCTCCAGCTTGACCTTCAGATCGTTGACGGTTAGATAAATGTCCACGAAACGACTTTCGCTGACTTCGTTGTAGGTGAACACGACCTTGACACGCTTCTCCGGCTTCAGATTGACATTGACCAGCGGATCCAATTGGCCATGCACCTCCAGCAGCTCCGCATAGCGTGCCGGCCTCTCGCACTCCGGCTTGTCCATGTAGTGGCGCACAAAGGCGCGTTCTGCGTCCACACGCTCATCCACGCTGATCTTCCCGCCGCCATTCAACATGGACACGTTGGGCAGACGGGCGATCAGCAGCTGGCGGCGCTCGTGCTCGGTGCACTCGAGTGTCTCCCAGAGGGGCCAGTGCTTGACCCGCAGATTCTGCAGCTGACCGTATTTGGCCAGCTCATCGATGTCCGCCCAGCTGTTGAGCTGGGCACAGCTCAGATTGAGCAGCTTCAGGCAGGGGAAATATTTGTGGCACTCGCTGGCACTGGCCGAGTCCAGTTCGGCATTGGCCTGCAGCGATTTGATTGGGCACTCGGCCAGCACTAGGGTCTCGAGGCTGGGGAACAGTCTGCCTAGGCGACAAATTTCTTGCCAGTGCTCGATGGGATTGCCCGTAAAGTGCAGTGTCTTGAGCGCCGGATGTGCCTGCGTCAGCTTGCGTCTGGCCCGGCACAGGCTGCAGCAGCTCTCTGTCAATGCTAGCGCTTCTGCTTCCGTTTCAGTTTCATTTTCAGTTTGTGGCACGCATTGACAGCTGCTGCTGCTGTGCTCCACCTCCTCAGCCGCATCCAGCAGCACGGCACTGTAGTTGTTCAGGCTGAGGTGCAGCTCCTGCAGCACCGGCAAGTTCTGCAGCAGCGCATCCACGCACATCCAGTCCAGGTAGGTGCCATTGAGCACCAGATTCTTCAGATTGATCGTGGGCGCCGCCAGCAACGCACTGGGCGTGCTCAGCAGCTGATTCTTGCTCAGATTCAAGAACTCGATGCGCGGCATATGCTTCAGTATGTTGAACACCTCGTGCCAATCCTGCAGCTTGTTCTGCGCCAGATCCAGCTCACGCACACGCTGGCATTTGTCGCGTATGCTCTCAAAATCGCCGGCGCAATCGATGTCGCAGTCGTTGAGCACCAGCAGGGCGGGCACACTGGTCAGCGGGGAGAGGCGCGGTATGAATATGGAGAACTCCATGCGGCCGCCACATTTGGTAACCGTAAAGTCATTGGGCAGATCGGAGCGCTTGTGCAGCTCCGGCTGGTTGGCGTTCTCGAATTCGCATTCGGCGAAATATTTGCGCTCCAGCGCCTCCAGCAATGAGGGCATCTCGCTCGCTCTCTCGCTCTCTTTCTAGCTGTATTTTAAACGCTGTCGCAGCAGCCAATGAATTATGTAAATTTTACGTTTCACTTTTGTTGTTCGTTTTGTTTTGGTTTTTGTGTCTTTGTTGCTGCTGCTTTGAGCGCTGGCTGCGTTTTGCTGCGCTTTGAAGCTTCGCCTTAAGTGCTCAAGCTTTTACAGTTCTTGTTTTGTCAGTTGCTGTTCTTGTTCTTGTTCTTCCTGCGCTGCTGCTGATGTTCTTGTTGTCGCTGTTGTCGTTGTTGTTGTTGTTGCAGTTGTCGCAGCTTCTGTCTGCCTCTGCTCCTTCGCTGCTGCTGTTTATTGATTTTTGGAGAATTCAAGTTGCGTTTTACATTGAATTTCGTTGTTGTTGTTGCGTGATGCAACGTTTTTGTGGTTTTATATTTTTTGCGCAGTTTCTTTTTTATATTATTGCAGTCGTCGATTTAAACAAATTGCTGCGCACGTTGTTAACGTCTTTGTTGTAGTTGTTGTAATTGCGCACTAATTTAACAAAATTTGTTGTTGCCGAAACAAAGAAAAACACAACAAATTATGAGTGTGTGTATAAAGGGGCCACTTGCCAGACTACCTGCTGCCCCTCTACCTCTCTCGCTCTCTCTCTCTCTCTCTCTCTCTCTGTCTTACACACTGCCTCTGTCTCTGTTCAAATATTCCAGTCAATGGCGTTTACTACGACAAAAAGCCAGGCCAAAGCTGAGTAGCTCTCTGTTTTTTGTTATTGTTTAGCTTTTCTAATTGCTGCTGTTGCTGCTGCTGCTACTGCTGTAGCAGTTGGTGATTTTGATGGTGTCTCTGTCCGTTCGCAACGCCACCAAACGCTCAACTAAACCACAACACAAGAACGAACTCGCCTCCGTGTTGTATGTATTCTTCTGGCCCGTTTTGCCAGTTGCTCTGCTCGTCGTGTGCTTTTATTTTGCTGTTGTTGTTGTTTTTTTTTTTGTGTGTAGGTCGCCGTCATGCGCACAGGGGCGGATTCGGGGGAAGCTTTCTGCTCACGTTAAGTTTTGGGCGCCTGGGCGCACAAGCTTCGTTCAAAGTTAATTTGTTTTGATAGTTGTTTCCAAAATTAAACGATGCAATAAGTTCCCATCTGATGTAAAACCACCAGCACTTTGCTAATTAGGGCGCAGCCGCGCCTGCAGCTCCAATCAGATAAGAACCTATCTCAATAATTTTGATGCCACCAAAAAAGCACAATATAATGATTTCCAGTACGCATATCGCATAGGCTGTTGAGTTTTTTCGATGTATTTCTATCAATAAATTGTATGGGCCCCACATTAAGGCGCCTAAAGCGAGCCCGTTGTAAATGTAAATGTCTGATGGCGACCTTGCGACGTAAATAAATATACATACGCTCAATTACGAAATTGTTTTAGCTAGAGCAAATACAAATATTGCTGTGCTGCTTTCGCTTTTATTTTTTTGGGGCAAGCAAAAAATAGAATATGTAGATTTATAGAAATTTTTAAAAACACATTTGCAATGACCTTGCGTATTGTGCACTTGGCAGCGGCCCTAGCAAAACAGAAATACATATCTTAGAATTGGGCGCCCTGTTGTGTGCCAAATGCGCCCCCGTTTGCATTTCGTCTGGAAAACCAGTTATAAAGTCAACGGTCATGCCACAGTGAAAACGCGCTACAGCAAACTCCCCCGACAGAAAAACAATAAAGAGAACCCCAGAGCAAATGTTTATTATGATTGGCAGCATTTAATTGTAAAACTAGGGGATGATTGCAAATGTGCATTGGTATTTTTAAATTTCCATAGCCTTGCTGCGTATATGTTGTTACATTTGTAAAATGCGCCGCTGTTGTCGTAACAACTCAATGGGGTTCACTTTGTTGACAGCTTAAAAGGTGCGCAATAAATGAGCGAGTTTTGTCAGTGGGTGGGGGAAGGCGAATTGGGACAGCCAGAGAGCGCGAGAGCGCATGAGAGCGCGTGAGAGCACAAGTCGTGAGCGCGCCAATTTACAAAGCTTATGGCGCACACACACAGCTGTGCTTTGTTGACGTCGTGACTAGCATGCAGAGACACGTCCACGTACAAAAACACAAACATATGTTTGTTTGCATTGGCGCTCAAACGAAACTGCGCAGCATGTTGAAAGCTTCGGACGCCCAGCTGATTGTGTTTGCATTGCGAGCTTTTCACACTTACGCAGCTTTTGAATATGCATAACAACAACAACAACACGAGCAGCAGCAGCGCTGAAAGTCAACGAAAAACAGATGGGCAGCATTGTGACAATGGAGCAGTGGCATGGGCATGGCATTTGGGGGCGTTACAAATTTGATTTGCACAAAGCATAACGTTTGACGCCTTTACCGTTTTTTATGACCCAAAACTCAATTTGCCGCTGCCAATATTGAACACTGTCAGCATGCACAGACGCAAATACTTCTGCTCGACCGTGTGTGTGTTGTGTTTGCACTTTACTTGGTCAAACTGCCTGACGAGGGGTTCCAATCAATTTACATACATATGTATGTAGATTTGATTATTGCTGTCACTGCCTCGAGTGCTACAAAGAATTTTCAAAGATAAATGTACGAGCTGCGCTGTGCTTGTGTGTGCTATTCGTTGGATCAATAGATGGGAAAAATAGCAAATGATGGCATCCCAATTGCAACAGATGCCATTCTGTTCCAGCTCATATCTGCTAACAATTTTATGTATTTTTTGCTTTGTGTGCATTTTGATAAATTGCATAGCTTATATTAAGAGTATATCTCAAGGAAATAATACGTTTTGCTTTAGGTTGTTTATTTTTTTAATAGGCATAACTTATCTTTCACTAAGTTTTGTTGCTCAAATACAGATTAGCTTTGTTTCTATTTATAATGAAATTTATCAAATGAAATAATGGCATGCTGTAGGTTAGAATTTTGGAAAATTATAGGGGTAATAAACTAGAAAAGTAATGCTCGTAATTTTTGGACTGATTCTTTCCATGGGTTAATAGATGTCTTCTGTTAAGCGTTGCACATTTCAAATTTATAGAAAATTAAAGTATTATACAATTAAATTATTATGATTACTCAGTTATTTGTTAAATAAATATCTTAAAAGTGAAGTGAAAAACACTCTTTATGTAATTTTAAATCACTTCAATTAATATTTCGTCTAGTACGATATTTAACATACATGTTGAAAATGTTTAGTCGCAGCTCGAAATGAGTTTTAGAAGAACTTTAGGCCTTGGATGAGTTTAAACATAAATCTTATTTACGACTTAAATAAAGCTTACATTCGCTTGAATAAAGCTTAAATCAACTAAAGCGCCACATTTTCGGCAATTCAAAGCAAAGATTCCCTGAGTCATGCCTCAGTTTTAAGGGTCAAATGGGTTTATAGACATTTAAACTTAATAAAAAAGTTGAATTTCTTGTCTTTTGACTCATACGCACATTTATGGCTCTCTTAAAACTGAAAGAAAATCCCCATTCATAACGTCTTATAAATCGCACAAAAACAAATTTTCGAAAGCAATTTGGGTTCACTGTAGACATCAATTATAATTTTTGTTTCGTATTGGTGTCCGACGACCCGTATCGCTCATGTCTGAGACATTTGAAGGCGTCACACATTCTTAGAGACAGCCATATAGACACGAGTATATATGTACATATGTACATATGTGTATATGGTCTATAATTATCCATGAAAGTCGCAACACTTTGCGTATTATTCTAAAATGCGATTTTGTTATGGTTTGACCGGCGTTTGTTTTGCGAGGCGCAGAGAAAACGGCCAATAAGCCATTTGTCAATAGAATTTAACATTTTAGCCATGGCTACCCAAAACCAATTGAATTACCACTCGTATATCATTATTGATGCTTTAATGTTTTCTAGATAATTTGTGGATTTTGATTCAATTGCTTTCGTACCATGAAGACCGATTGAGGGATTATTTTGGGCCAGGTTTTCCAAACGTTTGGCAACATTTTGTAATTTACAATCTATATTTGTGGCGATTTATTCGATGAACGCTATTTTATGGCCAATTGCTGTTTACAAATATTGAATGCATAAATGTATGTGTATAAATATGTTAATACTTTATTTATATCAAAAGGAAAATGGAAAACACAAAATAAAACCGATGAAAAATTTGTTGAAATCAATTGCGTCAATAAATGCGCCTAAGATGCTGCATAGTTGTTCTCTTTGTTGTTGTTGTTGTTGTTGTATTTTGATCGTAAAGTTCTATAAATTTGGTTGTGTAAAATGGAAATTTTGACTTTTTGTGCCTGACGGCATTTAACGACTTTCATGGAATGGCACAACGCGAACGGCAACTACGTAAACAATGCAGCTATAAGAAAAGCAATTTTCTTGTCTCATTTTCTATGCTCGCGAAGTCTAGACAGCGTCTTTTATTTTTGAATTATTACACGTTTGGTTTTTTCTCTTTTTTAATCATAAGCAGGCGTTATACTTGAGCTTGACTGTAGCTGTCGGGTGGAAGGCTGTCTTCTTGGGCCTTGTCTGGCCGCAGCTGAGCAAGTGGTTAACCTTGCGTATGAGTAATGTGTTATTTGGTTCATTATGCCACAGTTTTCGGTTTCATTTCAAATGAACTTCATATGCTGCGTGCACAGAAAGATATATAGCTACATAAGTATATCAGATGAATGTAGAAGATTTATTTCTCTGACCCATTTGCCAACTAGAGAAACATAAATATTTGTTTTATGCTCATAAATTTGTAGCCAATAAATGTGCTCAAAAGAAATCACAAAACCATTTTATTTTGTTTGTCACAAATTGGCCAATTGACAAATTGCACAAATGACAATAACTGGACATTATGGCTGACTGACTGATTGATTGATGGACTGGCCATCGAAATGATAGTGCGGCTGTCGCTGACAGCTCTCATTAGTCGCTATAATATTTACACACGACCAGATAAACCGATTTCAATTTAAATATCATTGTTTTTAATACCCTCTAAACAGCAAATAAATGTGATAAGCATGTCATTAAATGTCTGTTAAGTATGCTAGCTCTAACATTCTTTTATCTGACTGCGGAGTAGATCCGTCCCAGCTATTTACAAAAACTCAGTTTCTTGGCAAATTTGTTGCGCAGTTGGCCTTAAAATTAAACTACTCGATTTAATTTGGAATTTTCGATAACTATTCAAGCCTCAAATTATGTAACAAAAATAAAAATTTGTTAATAAATCGATTTCACCTAAAATGTCCCCCAATAATCGAATATCATATCGATATTTGCGATGCCACTATCGATAATTGTGTTATCGATTGTAGAAATGATGTTCAAAATGCAATATTTTTAATTCCTGGACGGTTACAGGGTATTTCCCAGTCACGCTTTAGCTGACTTATTTTTTCTTGTTTATCGCCTCTTGTTGCCTCCTTTTTTTCACGCTTCAAATAATTTTGTTGTTGTTGGAACCATCAACGTTAATTTAATATGCGACATTTGCACTTTTCGGTCAGCGCCAGCAAAAAAATAAAAAAAGAAACCCCCGAACCAGCGATAACCCCTCAGACTGAGGGTCTGTTGTTGGGTGTCACCGTCGTTGGATCGGTATCAATTTGTGGGTCGGTGTTTGGTGTCTTTACCCTCCAGTTGCCACAGTTGCCTGCGGCTGCTCTTATTACTATTTTTATTATTATTATTATTTTCCAGCGTTGGTTCAATTAAATTGATGCACTTCGTGCTTGGCTCGTAAGAACTGGAATTGCTTGATGTAGTTTTGTAGCACTAATAGCTTCGCTATACGATATACTTGTTCAGCGAAATTAGTTTTATTTTAAATTAACTTTTTAAATTGTTAAGAGCTAATCGAAATAATAACGAGCTAAATTGCACAACAATTACTAAGCTACTTTTAGATATAATGACTGGCAATTATTCGATATACAACTTAATCGATATATATGATAGTGTGTGGGAGACTAGGTTATTGGGTGTTAATTCTTTTGAAAAAAAAAATACCTTAGTCGGTAATTATTATCCAACACTTCAAATTCTTTTTTTATACCCTTGCTGAGGGTTTTATAGTTTTGTCTCGAAATGTGTAACGAAGTAGTCATCTCTGATCTCATAAAGTATATACATGTATTCTTGATCAGTATCAACAGCCGAGTCGATATAGCAATGTCCGTCTCTTCGTCTGTCGATTTCTATGCAAACTAGTCTCTCAGTTTTAAAGCTATCGTCATGACACTTTGTTCACATCCCAGTACATATGTCATATGCCGGATTGGACAACTATATCAAATAGCTCCCATAGGAACGATCGGTTCTTTATGGAAATCTTTTTTTGACCAAACTCGGCATTTATTAGTTTCTGTTTTCCAAGATATTTTCGACAAACTAAGCATTTACGAGCTTTACTCTTCTCTCATATCTGGAAAACCGTAAGCCAAATGTCTCAGAGGGTATTAAAGTTTTACTTACTTTCTAGTTTGAATCACAAATTTAGTTTACAGCATGGCTGTACAAAAGTTGCTTAAGTTTGGTACAAAGAAACATATCTGCATATATTTGGGCGCATTTGGCATGCTAAACTATTTGAGCTGCAACTATGTTTCATATCCAAAATGACGTCTACTGCCCAATCAAATAAATGAGGCAGCTAACAAGCCTTAAACATCTCATATACGATAATAACTGCTTGGAAATAAAAATGAAAGCATATTCTAACAATAATATATACAACACTAATATTGTTTCTCTCGGGCATAGCCCGCTGATTCCATTGATTTAATATAAAAGTAAATAATGGAGTTTGTCACATTTCGTACATTTCAAAGAATTGTATATGCTTTTAAATAAAACTATTACAATTTTCAATAGCTTTTCGGTCGTATAAGCATTTTGACTGTTTTCAACGAGAAGAAACCATCCCAATGTATGCCATCACTATCTTCCAGCTTAAAATTATAGTATTTGCCATTTAAATTGCTAAGAAACAAAAAACAATTAGATTTCATTTATTTTTTTTCGATGAATTTATACCTTCCTACACATTTGTTGTACCACCAGCCACCACAATATTTGTATTTACTTGCGCAATTGCCATCATCCCAAGCATCATTATCACGATCGAATGTGCTGAATTTCATATTTCTGTGGTAACTAAAGTTATCTTGTGTTGCATTGCCCGCGGCTTTTCCCAAGGTGATCAGTCTGTATTGATCGTGCTCGTCAGCGATGGAAAATTGATCATATCTGTAGTATTTGATGACACCTTCAAATCCTTCCATATGTATGTAGAGCTCATGGGGCTGGGCGCTCGTCAAGCGATGAATCTTCTCAAGTCCTAAGAAGAAGTCACCATCAAAGGCACCAAATCCGTTGCGGTAAGTTGCCCAATCCCTATTGAAGTCCTCTTTGCCATGGATTCGCTGTTGGATAACCGTCCAGCCAGGACCTGCTGTCGCACTATCACAAAGTACATTGAACGGATATTCGTGATCCGGTTTAATCATATGAATACCCGGTGCATCAGCAATGTCGGTACAGTCACTGTAAATGTTTTTGATTTCGGATATTTGTTTGTCCTTTTGATCAATTAGCTTCTTTTGTGTGTCCAGCTGCTCCTCGTGGTCCTGGATTTTCAAGCAATTGGGATCGAGTTTACCCATTTCCTCTTTTATTGATAAAACGTTCTTGGTTAGCTCTTTAAGTGCCTCGATGATAAATTGATTATGTTGGCTCAGTTGTTCCTGCAGTTGTTTGATTTCTTTGTCTTTGCTTTCAACTTTATTGTTATTGTTTTCAATTTCCTCCTTCATCTGATGTATATACTTTAACAATGGTCTCACTGCCTTATAGGTGTACTGTCCACATTCCTCCTCTGCTATTCTGGTCGCCGAACAAGACTAATGAAAAAGTAGGGTTCTTTTTTTGAGTGCACACAAACATTGATAAAAATTCACTTTTTTACCTTATTTTCGTTAAACTCTGCTTCAGCTATGATCAGTATTAGGCTTATAAATAAAATATATATAAACATAACACATTTCATTTTGATAGCACTTTGATTTTTAAATTAAAACACGAATCTCAACTGCACTCAGCACGCACGTAAATAGACTGAAAAGCGGCAATCATTCGGAAGCTCGGGCTCCCAATATTTCCGTAACTTTTAAGCGATTATCAGTAGGTCAGGAACTCAATATAAATAAACAAAGGGCATGGGTCAGGCTATAAGTGACAATCATTGAACTGTTAATAGATTGCAAATTAAAAAGTTTATATGCTGTGGTTGCTTCTCGTTATTAGCTCAGTTAACGAAACTCAAAACTAGTTTCAAACCGAAACCAAATCATTTTGTTGTTTAAAAATTTTTTTTGACATGGCTTGAATCAGCTCGTTGTCCCGATCGGGAAGTGAATATATTCACTTTTTGGGATCGTTGATGCTGCCTGTTTATATTTATAATATTCAATTAAATATGTGCTCTATTTAGTTAGTTATCGATTAATTCATAAAAACATAATTAATAAAAGATTAAAAATGGGTACTATGCGAGAATCGATAATCGATAATATCAACTTTTATCTTTATATCAAATATTAGATGTATATTAGATGGATAGATAGATAGCTATCAGATAGGGCGCACTTCCCTATGTGAGCTATCAATTAATCGATAATTTAAGATGAGCTTTTGATTAATCGAAAATTTCAACTATTATCTTTATATAAAATTATAATTAATAAGTGCAATATAGTAGTCAAATCAAACATTATTTTTATGTTTAATCTTAGATTAAATATGTGCACCAAATGTTCTAACGATTAATCGATTATATATATGTACTATTATATAAGCAGAATGTGAGTTATCGATAATATCAATGGTTTATTCTCCGATTGTCCCCGTCGAAGGTTTTTTTTTAAAGTCTGCTGCAAAAAAAATCTATCCTTTAAGTGTCAATTTCAGCTACTGTCATTATTTTTATTGGACACCCTTTACTTTGACGAGACTGTAAATATTTGTAAGACATTGCTATCTGACTGCAAACGTTTTTGAAGGCTACTTTTATCGCAACTTTAAATAAACTAGCTATAAACTAAACATTTAAAGGCTGTATGAGTCAGTCGATTGCCCACAGCTGATAAAACTTATCGCATTGCCCGAAAATAAGTCTGAATTTGAAACGTTCTAGATAATGTGAACAGATGATTATAGTGTAGTACAGTATACAATTTTGTATTTTCGTTGGTAATAATGGGGTTGATTGTGCTTAAAGTGCTAGTATCTGAATCGTCAGCTGTTAAATTATTAAATGAGCAGACAGACGCCCACAGAGACCTTCATTTCAATTGCTCTTTCTCAAACATTCGCCAGGGCAATTGCAGTCTGCAATGCATTTGAGCTCATTATATGCAATTAGTGAGCTCTCTTTTACTTGGCCGGGCCATAAAGCAATAACTGGGCCGGTCAAGCCAACCTGCTAACTGAATTATTCATAACCAGCTCTGGCAAAAGCATAACAGACCAAGTATATATACCACATATAAATGTATATGTATATATCTGTATCAGTATATAGAACACTTCTATAGTCTCTTGAAGTTCTCTCTAGGCGCAATTAATTTGCTGGCAATAATGAAATCTAGGACAAAATGTTGGCAAAAGGAAATCGTTGACAGTTGGCTCACAAGCAGAAGTTGAGTGTTCTTCTCTGTCTGTGTGTATTTTGCTTTATGTTCTATAACAAGCGAGAATATCCTGATTGTATGTGATATACAAACATATACCCTATTTGAAAAGGCTATTTAATCTAATGGAAATGTATAAAAGCTTTTTAAGACTTTTTATGGAACTTTTAGAAGTATTTAAGTATAGTTATGCTCTTAATTTTTATCGATAGTATTTATAGACAATAATTTTTTCTTTTAAACTGTGTAAGAAAATATTTAAATATATCTATTATGTTAAAATTATAACGCTTCATAACATTGAGTTACAACCGAATATAATAGAGCGTTCCTTTGATGCTTAGAATATTTTTATCGATACTTTTAAAGCTCCACTGACCACCATTCCCACTATCGATAGTTTTTCTTTGCAGCATCTATAGTGAATATATCGATAATACCTATAATACCCCCAACAATCTAATATTATATCGATATTTCCGATATCGATAATTGCGAAAATATAAATTATTGAGTTATCGATGATAGATTAATTATATCGATATTATAATCAATAGTATTTCTGCTCTAATGCCTAAGCAATGCCTATGTTTTCACTTGCTATGTTCTTGTCTCTGCCTGTTACATACATTCCCACTAGTCTATCATATCCTCTTTTATCCGAATTCTTGGCACAAAGCACAAATGTGTTCGCTGTCCTGAACACCTTGCGCAAAGTTCCACAGTTCCAGATTGAAAATGAAATCATTTGTCAGCTGCAGATTGCAGTTACACGTATGCAAAGCGTTTCTTGGCCTAGATCTGCCTGGAATGGGCCAGGTAGATGGGCAGGTGGGTCGCTGTAATGGTATATCAATTGTTGGCATTCACACTTCTATGCATTGTTTGCTTTTTTTGGGCCATGTTTTAATCAAACTAAAATACATGGCAAACTAAAACGATTTACTGTTTTTTTTTTTTGTTTCCCTTTTCAAGTCCTTTAGGCAGTGCACATTTGAGGGCGCACTGTAGTCAGGATTTCTGTGTGTGTCTGCATTTTTCATTTGTCTTTGGTTGGAAAATGTATAAATTGCACAACCTGCTAAATGGGGTTTGCCAAGAAAAACAACAAACAATCTGATTTAAGCTTGAGTTTTGGTATTTAATTCTGTGCAAGAAGATTCCAGATAAGAAGTCATTTTTTTCCCAGCTGAACAGCTGCAAATACAAAAAAACTTCTTGCTTAAATCAGATTAAATAGCAATTTACTGGAATATTGCCAAGCGTTTTAAAGTCAAGAATGAGGTCTGCAATATAAGCATAGAAATTCTTTTTTTCAGTCATTGTGTAAAATGTCTTTAAATATCATGTGACCGAAATACTAAGCTACATTAAAAACAATTCTTCTTATTTTAGAAATTCGCAATCAAACAATATTTTCTTTCTAAGTTTCAGAATCCTATTTTTAAGATTTTTAAGAAATTTGAAACTTATAAATTCTGTACTCAATTTTTCTGTTGTCAATCGATTTTCAACCGGAAATTTACCTGAAATTTGCATTCAACAATTCAATCTTTATGCAAGAATTGGGGTGTAAAATAAATTTTTAATCTAAGCCCATTTTTTGAAGAAAAATATTCGGTTTGGGTTGCAGTTGTTTTTTAAACAACTGGTAGGGTAAAAATTTTAAGTGCATAAGTAAATAAAAATTAAAATTCCGGGCTCGAAACGGTTCGATTAAAAATTCCATTTTGCAACCTTGGAAATTATACACATTTATCATGCGATCAAAGCAGGAGCTTTTAATTACTCCGTTCTAATTAAACCGCATTGCACACAATAAAGAATAGTAAATGCAAGAGTTCCACACTGATTCTGATTATTGCACATGGATATAAATAGATAGATAGATTAGAGAGCAATTAGATATTCCGGCATTAATAGCCTTAAACAAACACGCTAAATTGTTATTACTTTTATTTGTTCTATTTGGTGCTGTTTGTCAATTGGGCGTATATCAATTACAACTGTGTATCCCAATGAATAATTGTGAATTCTATTCTCACATTTCCATTGCTCGATGGTTCGTTTAATGGTTCGCATTTTCCATTTGGTGGCACGCTGATTAGCGTGCCACAAAGTTATCAATGCCGCACCAATGAATCACTTTAAGTGCGCTAATTTTCTCGTCTAACCATTTTCCATTTTTCCATTATCTGCCTTTTGGCTGAACTTTATATAATTTGCATATTCTCAACGCCGGCCGCACAATTTGTTTATACAAATTGTTAAGATCTCAGTTCAGCGGCGGCTTTTCACAGTTTTCTTCTGCTCGTTTTTGCTGTTGTTGTTATTATTTTCTTTGTGGTTTTTGTGGATGCTCTTCATCAATCAAATGTTTGTTTGGAGGGGGGTTTTGGGCATTCGGAGGCTCAAAACAATTGCATATTCATTCTAGTTTGTTTGAACAGCTGTCGGCCAAAGTAAAATTCAAACAGCAAGTGTATCGAGTGGGCAGTAAAATGGGGGGAAGGGGGCGGCGTGGCGGTCTTTGTTTGCAGACAGATTATTTGGCTGTTGCTTTCGACTTTAAAGCGACACGCAAATGGCTAATGATAATTACGTAAGTGGCTGCGACTGAGGTGACTGCCCAGCATGTCGCAATTGTTGGCCCAGTAATGTGCGCGGCTAAATGCCAATGACACTGGCTTAAATTGGCGATTAACAAACCCATAAAATCAGAAGCCAATTAACCATGCTTGAAGCTTTAAACGCGATAAAACTTAATTATCTTGAGAAAACACTTAAAGCTTTAAGTAGCTTATAAAACTGAATTTAAATATAGTCAGCAAGCCAAGCTTTCGGTGTCTCGAAGTTTTCATGCTTCTTACTAATTAGATTAATGATTAAATCTTTCTTGCCGTACAATCAATTGCATTCAATTTAACGCATTTAATGCTTTAAGCATTTAAAATTGATGAGCAGCAAGGCGAAATTTCACTTAAATTCTCTTTTTAAAAGTTGCTTTAAAATGCCAGTTGAGCTTTCTGTAAGATCACCTTAACTCATAGAAAGTTTTAAAAGTGGTTACTGCAGCTTTTGCCTTTAAGATTTTTGTAAGTTCATCTGTTGTTTATTTGGGTTTATAACGAGCTTTAAGGGATAGTATTTTTATTCATTCAACTCACTTATGCTAGTTTAAGGAGTGAATTTAGCTTTGAAGTATTTGAGCTTGTGAAAGTATTTTAATTTGTTCACAGCTTTAATGTGCTTTTAAAGCAAAAGCAAGCACTTGTCAGTGAGTTCAATTTAGTTTTTAAAATAAAAAATTTTTAGTTGTATCACGAACGGAAGACTGAAAAGTTAGTTTCTTTTGTCGGATGCGCAGAGTCTAGCTTTAAACATTTAAATGATTTGGAAACAATTTTGCTATTAAGT